ACAGTGGTGGATTTGTCATATACCTATATGACTGTTTCAAAAATTGCACAGGCTACCAGTATGTTTCCAGATGCCATTCAAGATGCTGGTTATGACCTATAAAGCTCTACTATAGGAACAGTTATTTGAGAAATCACTTACTTCCTGTGGTTTCTGCCTGGTTGGTATAAGCCAGCAGAGTGGGTCTACTCTGGGCCCTTCAATTAAACAGTGTTATATATAATTATCCAGGAAACATATTTTCTCTGTTGTGGCACTTACTCTCTGGAATGAGGTTCCCACTAATTGGGTATGTCTAGTTTAATGAAGAGAAGGACAAGGGGGGACACGATAGCAGTGTTCCAATATCTCAGGGGCTGCCACAGAGAAGAGGGAGTCAAGCTATTTTCCAAAGCGCCTGAAGCCAGGACAAGAAGCAACGGATGGAAACTAATCAAGGAGAGAAGCAACCTAGAACTAAGGAGAAACTTCCTGACAGTTAGAACAATTAACCAGTGGAACAACCTGCCTCCAGAAGCCATGAATGCTCCAACACTGGACGTTTTTAAGAAGAAACTGGACAGCCATTTGTGCCTGAGCAGGGGGTTGGACTTGATGACCTCCAAGGTCCCTTCCAACTTTATTATTATTATTATTATTATTATTATTATTATTATTATTATTATTATTATTATTATTATTATTATCATTATCATTATCATTATCATTATCATTATCATTATCATTATCATCATCATCATCATCATCATCATCATCATCATCATCATCTGTATGGATCCCATCTTGATGGTATTTAGAAGGGACTAAAAGATCCGATTGTTCTCATAGGACTAGGATGCATGGAGCCCCTTGTTGGCGATGGTTTTCTTATTTTTTTTAGGTTGCCTGTCCATACTTTCATCTTGTTCAGCATTTATTATGTCTTGCATTTGTTAATTTTGTTTTGCCATATTATGCCCAGAATTGGCCTTGAGTCAAGTATCACCAACATCAAACAAATAACATAAATAACAACATAATTAAGCACCCACTTATAAACTTGACAACAAAACACATTGTAGTTTCTCTGTTGTGATTGTTCTCTTCCAACTTCCTTCCTTGTCTACATTTTTTTGTTTTGATGCAGTGTGAGAGGATAAACAAGTAGATTTCAATTAATGCAAGAAATAGAAAGTGATTTAGCATAGCATGAGGCAAAATATATAATTTCACTCTTTACCCTACACCTAAATCAGGGACTTGACATCAGTTATTGCTATTTTGGAGTGTCTAAAAAGAAAAGAAAAGAAAACAATAGTAGACCTCTGTGGTCATATTTATTTTCCATATATTGATTGGCATAAAATATTTGCCGCAGTGCCTCCAGAAGCAACAAAGCTAATCTTTAAGTTGCTAACAAGAGGCAAATGAAAACAGGAGTCATGTGCGTCCCCATGTAAACCTAATCATGACACAAATATGCCCTTGTGATGCTCAGTGTCCCACGAATTTATTATCTATGAATGAGATAAATTTAATCAATTCTTAAAGGTACTGATATTAAAGTGTTTTCCCATTGCAGCCATCAATTATTTTTTTCTATCAAGCCTTACTTGATTGGAAAGTTAATTTAGCACTGTTGGCAGTGAATTTTTCATTTGATAATTTATGACAAATCTGTCATAATAGTGGAATTAAAAGACTTTTTTTACTTTCTTAGACAAAAGTTAAAACAATAAATTAAACATTTTTATGGGACATGTAAAAATTTTAAATCTGTTACATTTTGGCCTATTTGGAGGCAAAATCAGTTGCAGATGAGATCAGAAAAATGTTTATTGCCAATTCCAAGAAGATGTGAGCACATTTCCTTTGCTTCTGATCCCAAGTCAGCCCTATCTCATGCCATTCTTCTTTTGCTGCACTTCTTGTTGCACTGCCATATTTGGTGACTGTCTTTCCCACAATGTAAGGAAGGAGAGCAGCCATATAAGATCAGAACAGTACCTATTTATGCTCCCAAAGATGGCTGCTGCATGGTAAGAACTTTTCTTTTTCCTTACGGATGATCTGCTGATTTTACTGCCAATGCTGGTTCTCTGGCAGCGCTGGATTTGAATGACAGCACTAAGAATGACCAAAGACGATTTTTAGATGACCGTGGATCCAGTTGGAAAGGGGAGTCTTGAACATTCCAGTTCTCTCTGCAAGTGATTGAAAAGTCGCTGGGCATATACATATTTCTGTCAGCAGTTTCATTTTCTTAAGCAATGCTTGGGATCTTGGCTGTCACTTTTTGAATTTATTGTTTTGTTTTTGGACTGTGAAGAACTTTCATTTGATTTATTTCAACATTAGGCTCTCATCAAAAGATTTCTGTAGTTTTTGAATTTGCAAAATATTTGGAATTTATCTTTTTTGAATTTTTCTTTTTACTTTTGATTGAAATATACAGAAACATTTAGAAAACATCCCTTTAGTTTCCCTCTGCTTCAGTGTTCTTTGCTCCCTGATCAAATTTCACAGACTCAGAAATGCTTGAACAGTGGCTGAAACCTAAGAAAAGACGATTGGGTAGTATGCAGCTTCTAACTGAACATCTCTCTCTAAAAAAAACTTTATCCAGACCAAAGACATATTCTCACAGTTGGGGAACTAACTGAGTTCATTCCATCTGTTTTTCTGAAGTTGAAGCCTGCCTATCCCTTACAATATTAGGACTCTGATTGAATGGAGAAAAGACAAATTTCTTTTTCCTATGAAGATTGAGGGAGACTGGATGGATTTATTACACCTAAATAGAAACCACTTCTATTTGGACTTTGATGGGAAGATAGACTTATTATAGAGACTGAATCTATTTAATTAGATACCAAATGGATAAGAGATGGCATTAAGAAAAAAAATGTATATTTCATCCAGGATGAACTATTTTTAATTTTTGGGATGATTTGAAATAAATAATGCTGTGGTAAACTTTCTAATAGTGGATTACAATAAGAGTTTATTAACAGAGAGTTTTGAAACTTTAAATTTGTTTTGTTTTAGTATTCTTCTTCTTCCTGTTAACTATTTTTTCACTAATATAGTATATAGAAGACATCAATAACTTGTAAATAGACATATTAGTTTAAAAATTGGGGGGAACATATGGGAACCAATGTCATAGTAATGTATTAATCAGCATTCAATTAGGAGGGATAATATGTGCATATGTGTTGGGGGTTTTTTGATGCACTAGTTTTCTTTTTTAATGTCTTGATTTTTTGTGTGTGGGGGGGTTGTATTTTTTGTCCTTTCTGTGGATTTTTTGGAGTTTTGTATTTCAACCTTGTCTTGAATAAAATAAAAATAAACAGAAAAAAAAGACCAGAATTGTGCCATTTGTCTCATGACTCACATTTCAAGCAGGGTATGGATCAGCAATAACAATATTAAATTTCAGAACTAGCATAGTCAGGACAACCATTTGTCTGAAATGATATAGGGTTTCCTGCCTGAGCAGGGTGTTTGACTAGAAGACCTCCAAGGTCCCTTCCAATTCTGTTGTTGTTGTTATTATTATTGTTGTTGTTGTTGTTTCCTGGTGACTCAACAATAGGTACATAGCATCTTTACTAATCAATGGAGAAAGTTTCCTTGTAGGTATTAAATTATAAAATTTTGTAATGGAAGCAAATTTGTTGTTCAGGGTTTTTTTATTTGGATCAGTGCATATTCAGAGATATCTTACTTACACACATTTAATAAAAGCTTTGTCTGTAGCATACATTAGGAATGTCATGGACACAGAAATGTCTCTTGGCATGCTTCATTATAAAAACAAGTTATTTCTTAAATATACAGCTGTATTTTGAAATGTATCCTACCAAATTTATTGTTTTAATTTTTTTCTAAAAAAATAGATTTTTTAATACCACAATATTTTTTCAGTCAGAATTGTCATAAATTATCAATGAAAGATTCATTGCCAATAGTGCCAAATTAACTTTCCCATCAACAATTCTCTTTTGCAACATTGACTCTATTGTTTTTTTTTTTCAAAGTGCTTTTCTTTGGAGGTGCTTTTTGCTTGTTCGTTTAATTTTTCTTGCCACATTTCTTTTCATATGGCTTTTAAAGTTATATCATATCCTTATAGCCTCTTTCCTCTGTATCAGTCCACCACTTGTTTTGTTTTATTTTGTAATTCTGATTCTTATTTACTTATATCATTTCTGGTTGGTCTTTCATTTTATATTCATCAAATTTATTTGAAGAATTAGTCTTTGGGAACAGTCCCACTATTTATTGCTCATGTTATCCATTTGATACTTTTCATTTTCCTCCTTAGTAAGGCAATTTATTTTGATACTTCTAAGTGTTTGAGGTGAAAAAAATAGAAATAATTTACTTGGGTTTCAACAAAAAAACAGACTTTCAAAGCTTCTTAATTCACAGCACTGTCAAAACAAAAAGTGCCAGGTTTTTGTTTGTGGGATTTTTTTGTTTTTGTTTTTTGTTTTGATAAATTGATACTTTGTTACAATGACACGAAGAGTTGACTATGATGGCTGAACACTCTGGGAATAATAATCCCAAACTATCTGGATGGCAGATTGGAGAATACTGGTTTCACTGATTTCTGGTTTGCTATGTCAGTTGTGGCTTACATTTCGTGGTAATGTTTCTATTAAAACTGTTCTATTAAAGTGTTTCTATTAAGCTGTTTTCAGTTTCCAAAATGAGCATTTTCAGTACTTGGCAGAGCCATTTTACTTAAATAGCTAAGGAACAAATTAGATACACAATCATATTCATTTCCTTACAGAACAAAATTCTGTACGTACACACAGCCCAGTTTATATCAACAATGGAGGCTATAAAATGCTCTCTATTTAATATCTCCTCAAATAATCATACAGTGGCTTATTACCCTTTCATTTGTCCTGGAGTAGTATGGGTTTTTTTTAACCCAAGAAGAGTAATCTTATTTCTTTCTTCTGTGCAGGCTGGCATGGCCTTGACTTATGACCCTGCAGCTACTATACAGAATGGGTGAGTAACATACATTTTACTGTTTTTAATGGCATCGTGATATTTTCTAAAGCAGTTTAAATTGTTAATACAATTTCAAAGCAAGTCAACCACAGCAGTATTATTTGAGACAACTTAAAAACGTGTTAAGCAGGAAAAATCATTTTCCCTCATTTATTTCTAGACTATTAGTTATGAATTGGGAATGATTGAATTGAATTTTAAAAAGATTTGCTTCAGTTTTCTATTCCCTGATGCTAAATTATTGACATTGGCCAAGTCATTCAGGGAGGCAGGCTATGAATAGCAGGTAAGTATGTTTTAAAGAATCTTGAATATTCAGGCAAGAATTACCATTCATTTATTCATCATGTATGTATGGCATTTATATCTCACAGTGGAATAGTCATTTTGTTCCTACAACAAGCACTCTTATAGGTAAGCAGAACTGAGAACAGATTGAATGAGTCAATATAACTTGTGAAATCCATAGTTAGGTCTTAAATATGAATCTCCCTGTTCAAAGATCAACTCAACCATTAGATCAGAGAATAGCTACCAGATTTTTATGGAATAATGTGAATACCAAAAGATACTAGATATTACCAAAATTAGATATTTTGTTTGTTTAGTTATTTGTTGTAATTTCAGACAGATGCCATGCTTGACAGTGTTTTGGAATCAGAAATGGAGGCAAGTTATTCCAGCATGGCTCACCTAGCACATTACACAAGATTATTTTGCTTCTCTGCTTCTTATGTTTTTCAAGTTCTAAGGACATAGTCTTTGTGTAGATCCAATAAATCAAGACCTCCATATAATTATGGAGGACTTTCTAAAATGCAATTCTAAAAAGGCTTTATATTTACTTTTCAGTTGTAATAAAGCCAAAGTTGAAGAGGGTATAAGAAAACCTCCAATATTTCTAAAATAAGCAAAAGTATCAGTTGCATCCACCTTTACCCTGCAAGCCACTAAAAAGTGAGCAACATCTGACAACATTCGGAGCAGCTAATTCCCATGTAAGAAGATACAAGATTGTACTCTAATTTCAGAAAATTAAAAATGATCTTGCTTCAAAAGTAATGCAGAAACCAGTTCAATCAATCACAATAAAGATAGAAGGAACCTTGGAGGTCTTCTAGTCTAACCCCCTGCTCAAGCAGGAGACCCTATACAATTTGAGAGAAGTGGCTGTCCAGTCTTTTCTCCAAATCCAAAAATTCCTCCAATTCCTTTCTTCTTATGGGTGCAAAACAATCCATTAATTTTCCCCTATAGAATGTTTAGATAAACTACTGTTTGTGCAATGCAATTGTGGCTGGGCTTAGTTATGACTTTAAATAGACACATTTATCTGTTGGAGGTGATACCTGGAATTCCTTCCCATTAATTAGGACTCCTGGGAACCTCTCTTCTGGGATCAACTGTTCTATTCCTAAGAATGCTATATGGTTTTTTTGGGGAAGGATGTTTTTCAGCTGTCCCAGCCTGATGTTGGAATTAGTTGAAATGACAAAATTGACATTTTTCATCAGGGACAAGACAACAAATACTTTTATTAAAGACCAAAAAATGTTTTATGAATTTTTTTTGCTAAAAATGAAAACAATATCATTTGTGATTTATGGATTTGTTGATTAAAAAGGGTTGAACAATGGGAGGAAGAAAAATATGATGTAATTTTAAAGAGGGAATTGTGAAAAATTGCTTGCCAGCTGCTACATAGGAAATTAAGAGTCACTTTTTTTACATTCTCTTGTTTCTATTTGCTTTTTCTTCCTCATAATTTTCTCACTTTTTCACTTTACTTTTTCTTTTATTGAATTTTACTTTATATTTTATATCTGAGAAAAACCTCTAATAAAATTATTATTAAAAAGAAAAGTGAAGAAAAAGTAAAATACAAATAAATGATCATGACAAATGATGCCATGGAGTAATAATTTTCTGGTATAGTATAGTTAGCTGTAAATGACTGAATGAATTCCATCTTTTTAACAGACAAAAATTACTATTAAACTCTAAACGTAGGAATGACAATACAGTCTAAATCACCAAGTAAAATATAGACTATAATAAATTCAATCCATAATAATAAAAATCTTGATAATCTGCAAAATTGAAATATCAACTTGATACATAAAGAAATGAAAAATATGGATCTGTTATCAGTTCTTGTATTAGATTGTAATCCAGGATTGGTTTTCTGTTTAAATTGAATTCTATGCTAGTATTGCAGTTAATGAGATATATTCCTACAATTTAATTAGTCATTCTTCCACTGACAAGATCAATGTTTCCAATAAAAAGCATATAATATCCTTGCAGCAGTTAGCATGAAAACAGTTAATATCAGTATACTTTATAGGAATATGTGGTTTGATAACGCTTAATAAAATTATGGTAGGCTGAAATGCGATTTCAGTTTTAAGATTATTTTCATTCTAGTAAACTTCATTTTTCAGAAATATTGAGCTTTATAGCATTACGACCATATATGGAAAAAACCCAATCAGTTATCTAAAGTGTTTTAGAAAATGTATTATTAATTCTAGCAATCAAAACTGTAGCAGTGTACAAGTTCATATTGTTACATCTCTGTCATTGCTTTCAAATCCTGCATCCTTTCAATTTTTGTCTTCTTTGGATTTTTAATCATGCTTTAACAATTTTTAAACGAGACCCAGAAAATGTACTGAATGTTGCACTCTTAACATGTTCAAATTCAAACAGTATTTTTCAGTATCTCCCTATTGCTGCAATTCTATAATATGGTTTACTTCAGTTTACTATAATACTTTTTTGAAAATGCTAAGAGCAAAATGGTTTCCTGAATGAGCTCTGGTGTCTGAGTTCATAAACCATCTTAAATCCCCAAAGTAATTGCAGGACTGGCTACTTTATGGTCCAGTAAGCACTTCTAATAAAGTGGAATCATTCCTTTGGCAGAAGAGACTAACAGAGATCCTGGCCTTAGGATATGAGAGATAAGTATGGGACTGGGCAAGGGGAAGTGAATATGATAAACCTCCAGGTAATTTCTTCTTGAAATATACCATGCTATCTACCATAGCAAAATGTCCATATTTTCTTTTCAGGTTTTTTTTTTTTTGCATAGCGATTAATGTTTTCAGAGTATAATTTTAATGAAACTACCATGTATATAAATGGCAAGGAGAAACCTAGGAATTTTCCTTCCATGTTTGTTTGTTTGCAGATATCTTTTACATCCTGTGCCCATTTCCTTAAAACAAACTAGGGGTTTAGAAGAACTGATATTAATTCCCTACCTCTACTAGTACTGTGTGCTGCAGCTACAAAAAAGCCAACACTGTTAATGCCAGGCTGCATTAACAGAGGGATAGAATCAGGATCACGTGAAGTGTTAATACCACTTTACAATGCCTTGGTAAGGCCACACTTGGAATACTGCAGCCAATTTTGGTCACCACGATATAAAAAAGATGTTGAGACTCTAGAAAAAGTAAAGAGAAGACCAACAAAGATGATTAGGGGACCGGAGGCTAAAACATATAAGGAACAGTTGTTGGAATTGGGTATGATTGATTTAATAAAAAGAAGGACTATCTCAGGGGTTGCCACAAAGAAGAGGGTGTCAAGCTATTCTCCAAAGCACCTGAAGGCAGAACAAGAAGCAATGGATGGAAACTAACCAAAGAGAGAAACAACCTAGAACTAAGGAGAAATTTCCTGACAGAACAAATAATCAATGGAAGTTGTAGATGTTTCAACACTGTCAATTTTAAAGAAGAGATTGGACAACCATTTGTCTGAAATGTTATAGGGTTTCCTGCCTGAGCAGGGGGTTGGACTAGAAGACCTCCCAGGTCTCTTCCAACTCGTTGTTGTTGTTGTTGTTGTTGTTGTTGTTGTTCTTCTTCTTCTTCTTCTTCTTCTTCTTCTTCTTCTTCTTCTTCTTCTTCTTCCTACTACTACTACTACTACTACTACTACTACTACTACTACCACTACCACCACTACTACTACTACTAGCTTTTTGTCTGTGTTCACAAAACATACTTTATTTTAGCCTGGTATATTTATACTTCCTGTAACAAGGCATTCTGCCAAACCAGATGACTGGGTTAAATAAGGAAGCCTGGCATTTAATGATTAATAAATGCACGGCTACTTTCTCAGTTGAAATTAGTATTGAAGCCCTATTCACAACTTTAATTCAGGAACTTTCAATGCTGTATGGACTACATATGGCAGTCTAGTTTGGAGATAGAAAAATTATTTTATGTATTAAATTAATTGAATTTAGTTTCTAGCTCATTTTTATTATCCTGATTCTGTCTACTTTTCCATTTGCTCTATTCCATTTTGTTACTCTTTACCACATGCAGGGGTTTTTTTGGTAAACATTTTTATTAATTTTCTAATTTTACAATGATAAATACTTAATAAGCAACGTGTTGTCTAGGTCCATTGGTAATTCAGAGGTACATATTAATTTTCTCAGTCTAGTTCCAATACTATAATATCTTTTCTAGCCAAAACATATCTCAATTGCATTTGCACTTAAAATCTATTTGTTCAATCAGTATCCTGTTTTTCCCGCTTTTTAAAAAAATGTTTTAATTTCCCATCAATGTTCAAAATATCTGTATCACATAATTTTCTCATAATATATTATATTTAGTTAACCAAAAACTTCCCTTATTCAAACACTTTTAGAATTTTCATATTTCCCATCTCATAACAAAATATAATATTCTAGTTAGAAATCCTAATCTAATAATAATACTTTTATTTCTAACAGTTATCTATTTTCTTAACCATATTCAAACATCTGTTTAATAATATAATATCTCTATCACTTATAGTTTTCTCATAGTAAATTATATTTGGATAACCAAAAGTTTCCCGTATTCAGACCCTCTTGGCATTTTCATATTTCCCTTCACACACCAAAATATAGTATTATAGTTGCATATCCTATCTTTCTAGTTATAGTAATACTTTTATTTCTAACAATTATCTATTCTCTTAAC